CATGAAAATTCAATGAGGTGAGAAAAGAGGTTAGATCTCACCTCTTCACCTAAACATTATTTTTGGGTCATTTACGTTCATTACGATGAAGAAGTTTCGACAAAACATAAACGATGAAATCATGACAAATCATTTATGTTATACAGTAATGTTAGTCATGAATGTTTGTCCTACGTGTTGGCGTTAGTGTTGAAAAATAATGTTTGTCCTACATGAAGCCGTACAAGCGTTTGAATTTGTTTATGCATAAGATTACTCTCTTGTTTTCTGTATCTATCATACAAACATAAGCAGCACCTGTTTTTGTAAAGTTTATATGAAGTTTTCGATAGTTAAGACCTGTATAATAATAGAATGCGTCCTCATTCTCAACATAGTAGTAGAACTCAAACGAATGCTTACCATAATCTGTTATTTCAACAGCTTCGTCAGATATTTCATCAACGAACTCATAAACTATATCGCCATACTTGCTTTTATTTCTATTGTTTTCAGATTTAGAACACCAACGAAGGTTTGAGATTCTGTTGTCCGTTCTATCATGATTTATATGGTCTATTTCTTTCAAATTGTTTGGATTTTCAATCCACTGTTCTGCAATAATTCTATGCTTTAAATGTGTTTTGTTGTTTAAACTAAGCTCAATGTTTCCCATTGAGTTTGTTCCCACTAACGTTCTCATTGACGTCCTCAATATCTTCTTCCTCACTGAACTCGTCAATATTTTCACTAGCTCCTTCTGTAATGTTTTCATCGGCATTGTCATTGACTTCTTCTGTAATGTTAGATGTTGTTGTTTCGCTCATGTTCTTTCACTAATGTTAAAAAGTTATGTTGTACGAATTTTGAACAGAATTTAGAGCAGTTATGAAACAATGAAGTACTTTTACGCTATTGAAAGGAACTATGAGAGTGAAGTACATGACAGCAATGACAAAAGGAACTAATATCAAACCTAATGAAATCGCTCACGAGGACATAGAGCTTAACAAGTACTTTGTGGAGTATCTTATAAGTGAAGAGTATGTAAGACCTTACTTCATGTTTGACAGCATGAATGAGGATGTTATTTCATGGTTAAAGAATATAAGCAATGTTTTCGGTAAGTACATCATAGATGACAAAGGTCTTGTTTGTATTTTATGAGACAGCAATACGAACACAGGAACTAATGGATATTATGCACTCAACAGCAAAGAAAGGATTTAGTACTATTGGCATGAATGAACATTGCAGGAATGACATATACAACCTATGCTCACGAAAGCCTTACACAAAAGCAATACAAATGATAGAACATAAGTGTCTAAGGTCAGTAAATGAAATCATTACTGTCAGTGGTTATGAAAGAACTGTTAGCAAAGATGAGTGGAAACAGCTATTCATATTAAGGAAGGACGTTGCTGAACTAGTTAAACCTGTTGCACAAACATTGTTTCAGATAAGACCAGCAATGACTAAGAACCCTTTGACCTTAGTCAATGAGACCATAGAGGTTGAAGATAATGACATGAAAGAACTAGGAATGAATGAGAGAAGTTGTGAAGGATGTTTGAGTCAAAACACATGTTTCTTCAGAGCTGTTAAGAAACTTAGTAAAGAACGACAGAAATATTTTATAGAGAAGTATTGTAAAGGATGTGTAAATGAATTGCTTGAAATAGAACTTAGAGACACTTTCACACTAAAGGACTTGAGGAGAAATAAGTACATGAGTGAAGAAGGTATTGACATAGCTAGTGTTATAAATGACTTAAGAAGATGTGTTGTCGTTATTGACGGAGCACGTATGACATATCTAGTGAAAGGTTATGATGGAATACGAGACACAACAACACTTGTGTCAGTAGATAGCAAGGAATTCAATAAGCTCATGAAGAGTGTTTATGTAGGACGTATTGAAGAGAAGGATGTGAACGCACTGATGATTTATGAAGCGGGTCAGAACAAGAACTATCTTATGAAGTCAGGCATGAGATTCTTTGACGAAAGAGATGACATTTACAGCTATTTCAGAGGATATGAGTATGAGGTACTGAATGAAGTAGATGAAAGCATTATTGAAGGATATTTGAAACATGTTCACGATGTCATATGTAATGAGGATGAAGAGCTTTATGAGTATGTTTTGAACTGGTTCGCCTACATCGTTCAAATCCTTGTGGAAAGACTGGAACAGTACTTTTGTTAATAGGAAAGCAAGGAACTGGTAAGAATGTACTTAGTAATGTTCTATGCGAGCTCATTAGCAAGTACGCCAACAATAATATAACGGCAATAGAGAATGTGGTTGGTAGATTCAATGCTGCTATTGAGAACATGAAGCTCATCGTATGCAATGAACTAAGCTCATGCGATACGTCTAAGGTCATGAACCACGACGCACTAAAGTCAATAGTAACAGAGACTCAGTTGGACTTAAATCAGAAGTGTCAGCCAGTAAGAAAGATAGAGAATGTTTGTAATATCATCATGATATCTAACAACTTCAACTCAGTAAAGATTGACAAAGACGACAGAAGATTTGTTGTCATTGACGTAAGCAGCAGATACAAAGGAAATTACGAATATTTCTCAAATCTCATTGAAAGCTTTAATGAAGAGTTTTATTCAAACTTACTGACGGACTTCATGAAGAAAGATTTAAGTGAATTTGATGTAAGGAAGATACCATTCACCAGGGCTAAACAAGAACTCATCGAAATGAACAAAACACCTTACCAAATGTTTTACGAGGAGTTCTATGAAAAGTTTGTATCCGGATGGAATTGTACAGAGTGCTACAGAAGATATAAAGAATTTGCGAAGGAGAATGAATTCTTTGCATGTAGTTCAAATGTATTTGGTGGTAAGATGAGAGAATTTGTGAAGAGAAGTAGAAAGCGAGACGGTTCTGCAAGAAGTTATATTTACGAAGCAAGTATGATATTAGAAGGTCGTGGAAAGAAAGAAACAGTGAATTATGAGGAAGTGCTTGAAAAATTCATGGAGTACATGGGAAGCAATATAACATACAACAAAGACATATACAGTGAGTTTAAGTACTACTGTGAACAGCATGAGATTGAAGTAATGAGTAAAAGAGACTTTGAAACGCTTATGAAAGACAGTAAGGAGGTCGTTCATGAGAACAGTGTTGAAATAGTTCATGAGAACAGTGAGGAGGTCATACATGAGAACAGTGATGAAATAGTTCATGAGAACAGTGAGGAGGTCATACATGAGAACAGTGTTGAAATAGTTCATGAGAACAGTGAGGAGGTCATACACGAGAACAGTGAGGAGGTCGTTCACGATGTCGTTCGTGAAGAAGCCATTGCAACAAAGAATGAGATAAAGGATTTCATAGAACTTAACAAGGAGGAGTTTAAAGAAGGCTATGAAGTGAAAAGATGTGAAGAAGATTTCTTGGCGTATTTGAAGAAAAAGAGACTAAAACCAATGGCTCAAAATAAGTTTCAATCGATGTTTGAAAAGAAACGTTTGAGCTATGGTGGTGTAAGAAGCACATATTACTTTGTTAAGAAGTGAGGACATTTATTTTTGTCGTTAGTGTTGGAGTTTGTGTTTGTTGTTAGTGTTTGTCATTTGTGTTGGAGTTAGTACTTGATGTTAGTGTTGGAGTTTGTGTTTGTTGTTAGTGTTTGTCATTTGTGCTGAGGTTAGTACTTGTCGTTAGTGTTGGAGTTTGTGGTTGTTGTTAGTGAGAGAATAAATTAAATCATGAACTTTGCCATGGTCTCTGTCCCTAGTAGTTTTCATTAAGTTCTGGAAATAATGAAAGTCATAAACTTTGCCATGGTCTCTGTCCCTAGTAGTTTTCATTATCTCACAGAGTTAATGAAAGTCATACTTTCTATCAGATGAAGCATGCAGATGAACATAATGAAAGTTAGTGAGTTTGCCACGAGTTATGAATAAAATATTGGCATATTAGATGAGATAGCTGATGAAACAGATGAAGATAAATTAAATCTTGGACTTTGCCACACTCTGTCCCTAGTTCCTCAAAATCCTTGACAACGTTGCTTAGAAATTTTGGTTCAAAACCTCATCTGATTTTAATCTGTTATGCTACCTGTTAAGTTTCGCGAGATTATAAATGTCATGGAGTTATATAAAAAGGAGGGACAGCTAGGGACACTGGAAGTACTTGTAAGGCTATCTGTTAAGATTGCATGAAATACTAAAAAGTCATGAAATCCATTATCGCTGTGCTAGCTTCACCTTTGATTGAAATGACAAATAAAGTCACTGAAGCAATGAAACAAAAGTTTTTGGTAGAATACATTAAATCAGGAACTATTCCAGAAGGTTTTTACATTCATACTATGAAGGATGGTAGAGTTCAGTTTAGAAAGATAAAGCAACCATTAGATAAAGAAGGTATATTAAGGAAGATTAAACTTCATGAGGACAACATTGCTGAACTTAAGAAGAAGTTAGAAGAGTTGGAGAAAGCAGACGACAGTGAGGAATAAAGCAATGAATTCAACAGGGTAGAAATGAGGTTAGATCTAACCATCTACCCTAAACTTATTTTTGTGCTATGTTTTCATACGTGTGAGGGTGGTGATATCATTTATTTTTAAGTTTATTTTTATTTTATTTTTATATAAATGACGAAAACTATTGAGATAACAAACTACAACGGTCATGAGTTCAAGAATTTGTTCTTCGTTCCTCGTGAAAATACATTCTATCAGATACGAGGGAGAAAGGGTAAAGTTAGTTTGAGCGTTTATGAAGGAATGAAGAATGGAAAGTTTATACAAGCATACGATACAAACGGTAAACGTGTTTCATTACATTTGTCAAAACTTACAGGTATAAACTATGACAGTGATTTTGACCTATATGAAGAAGAAAGTGAGTCAGAAGAATATGAACTGTTATGTGAAGCACAGCAATGGGAGGAGTTGCAATACTTTTGTAAGTGAGAACGTTTATTTTTACATTAGTGAAGTCATTAGTGGTTGGCGGTTTGTAAATATTTAAGGTTAAGTTAGTGTTGTCGTTTGTGTTGTAAAATATACGTTACTGGTTTTGTAAATATTTAAGGTTAAGTGGTGTACGGAGGCGCGCAGTGCCTCAGTACCCTTGATATGTATACTAACTAAAGTTCCGAGATCTGGGTATTCTTCCTCCCATGCAAGCTTAGTTTGACTATATGTCATACCTTCGGCGCGACAATTGATGATAAACTTTTGTTGTCTACCAAGAAATTCGACTGTGAGAAATTCCATTTTTAATTTTAAACGAGCACTTGAGCCACGTTTTATCTGACTTCACCAGCCAAAAAGCCCCTGTACTAAGTGTCATGTTTTTGTTTATTTTAAAGTTTCTGCCATGTAATGGTTTACATTGCAAATTTTTTGAATACTTTACATCACCATAAAATGGCAGTACAAGGCTAGTTTATCGGTACAAGGCTCTTGAAATGACTTTAATTAAATAAAAACTGCATAATGAAAGTTTATTATTTTGCTAATAAATGAAAATATTGCAAAGCCACTAGTGTGAAATGAATTTTATGCATCAAATGTGGGCCAAAATCTTAAAGCAATAATTAGACTTTACATCTATTTTGTCCTAAATTTCATTGTTTGACTACTCTACCTTGCAACATGTAATTTAAAAGAAATTGTTAAATCCTTCATTAACTGCATATCTAATAGGAGTAGGTCCATAATCGTTTTTCATATTGACACTTAAACTTTGCGAAATGAGAACTTTAATTATTTCTATGCTATTAATATGAACTGTATAATGAAGAACAGTAGTTCCATTGCTATTTTTGGTATTTTCATTTGCCCTCGGTGAATATTGATAAAATATTATCTAACATATGTTAAAATATTTTCATATTTTACAATGGCATCTCTCCTATGATGAAAAAGAATTCACAAAGGAAGTGAATGTTGAATTGTATAGATTCAGTTATACATTTTATAAGTGAAATTTCTGATTCTCTTATATATCATTCCTATTGTAATATATAAAAATCAATCTGCAGCAATATCATGACTCAATTTCACCCTCTCCAGAAGCTCAAAAATATATTTGCAAGAAAATTGGATATGTTGATGTATTTCTGGTAACCCCATAATATGATCTTTCGCAAACAGATATTTTATTATACATTCTATTATCGATAAAGATACAAAGTTGATATAAAAGCTTCTTTGGTAAATTTTTAATTCTTTGAATAAATATATGAAATACAAGCGCTTTGGAAGCATTTCTGTCTGTTTAAAGTTGTATATGAAGAAGCATAATTGATTATGTGCAGAGACAAATCAGATTGCATTTTGTAGAACCGATTTCCTTCGGTTAGAAATATTCGTTTTTTTTTCAACCTACATGTAGAATTAATAATTGGAATATTTAATTGAACTTTCTACATCATTATTATCCATTGTGTTAATGTGTTTAGTGTTATCATTATAATTTGAGATTTGTCATCAATGATGTGAAAAATCTGAAGAATAGCTGATTAATTAAAATTTAGGAAGAAAATGTTTAAAAGGGACTTAAAAGAATTTCTATAAATTGTAATAAACAGAAATTCATCAAAAGTGACAACTCTCAATTTTTTGACATTTGTAAATTCTAAATTGAATGAGAAAAATGAAATAATACTAAGCATAATACAATATTCTAGATTTAATTATAATTAGGAAAAAGTTGGTTTTGAGAGTACTTTTCATAGGCATATAGAATGAAATCTTCTGAAAAATAATATCACATAAACTCATATTATTTTCTAATATATAACTATTTTATATAAAAATCAAATTCAATGATCTTAAAAGCGAAGATAAACCTCAAAATTTACGAATATAATGAGTGGGAATATAATGCTTATCTATCATAAAACCATATGAAATATCAATTTTTGCTTTACGCCTAATTTTTGACGACAATTAGCAAAAAATGTTAATGTTAACACTCAGTCCATTTGAATATGAAAAATAAAATTGACTTTGATTAAATGTTTTTTATTATCATGCAATTCTTCTTGCGACCAAAGATTTGAATAAAACTTCAAAAAAATAAGATAGCTTAAAAAATAATATACGGTTAGTGTTTACTAATAGATGAATAGTATATAAATTCTATTAAAATGGATTTGATCCAAAAAAATATATAAAATTTGATCATAAATAAAATCGTTTTAATTACTTCTTCATTTAAATTATAACAATTATTTTTGGTTTTATATTTTTTGGATCAAATCCATTTTAATAGAATTTAATATACTATTCATCTATAGTAAACACTACCGTATATATTTTTTAAGCTATTTATTTTTTTGAAGTTTTATTCAAATCTTTGGTCGCAAGAAGAATTGCATGATAAATAAAACATTTAATCAAAGTCAATTTTATTTTTTCATATTCAAATGGACTGAGTGTTAACATTTAACATTTTTTGCTAATTGTCGTCAAAAATTAGGCGTAAAGCAAAAATTGATATTTCATATGGTTTTATGATAGATAAGCATTATATTCCCACTCATTATATTCGTAAATTTTGAGGTTTATCCTTCGCTTTTAAGATCATTGAATTTGATTTTTATATAAAATAGTTATATATTAGAAAATAATATGAGTTTATGTGATATTATTTTTCAGAAGATTTTGTGTTCTTCTTCAAAATTTTATTTTTTTATTAAAAAGAATCTTTACAAAATATACATTTACTTTAATTAATATTTAAAAACGTGCTCTATCAAAAGTTCCAAAAATTCAATATTTTAGCTTTTCTGAGGTGTCACTTTTGATGAATTTCTGTTTACAACATAAATTACTTTTCAGGTCTGTATTGTTTGATATTCGTTCCCAAATTGAATCATGAAAAGTGCCAGAGATTGCAAAAATTGAAAGCAAAATCCTTTTTCAATATAAAAATCCTCAAAAGGAGTAAATAAATGTCAATAAGTAATATTCTAAAACTTTTGCGTTCTTGTCGGCTAATAATGAAATTGAATGGATAAAAATTTCAATTGATAGAAACGATGAAGGAGGAGAGTGGCGGTATACTTGCCGCACTAAAATCCTTTATCATAGGAACATTATTTTCGTGCACTGCAAAACTTCCATGCCTTGTGCTTGACTTGGACAGTACTTTAGTTTATTCTACCGTATGTCCGACTAGTAACCATGAGTTTGAATTGGATGTTTCTTCAAAGAAATACTTTGTGCATATTAGGCCTGGTGCAACAGAGTTTCTAAAAAAGATTTCAGAAATTTACGAAATTTTCTTTTTTACTGCTGCATCGAAGGAGTATTCAGAGAATATAATCAAACATATAGCTCCTTTTGTAAATACTGAACACTGCTTTTTTAAAGATTCCTGCATTTTCAAACTTGGTTATGCGTTAAAAGACTTAAATTTAATCAATAGACCTCTCAACAAAGTGATTCTTGTCGATGATATACTTGGATCAGGTTTAATGCAACCAAACAATACAATTTGTGTAGAACCCTGGGTTGGAAACTTCGAGGATCGTGTCTTATTGAATGAGCTATATCCTTTACTGATTTCCTGTGCCGAGGAGAGTAATATTCCCAAAGCAATACATCATTATGCTTCAGAAATTCGACCAAAGCATTTGCAATTTTTTGTTAGTTAAAAATTCGTTTGTTTTTGTTATTAATTTACATTCTATTCATGTTTCCTTAATATTTATTTCCATTCATATTCTTATAAAATCAATATTTGAATAATTTTATCGAGCATTCTTTATGATCAATATCTAGTGTAATAGATTGTTTGATTGTTTAATTGTAGCTTGCCATTTTAAGAATTATAGAAGGAATAAGCAATATTTTTGATGTTTTTTATATTTTCCGTTATCATTCTGAAAAACTCACAAATATTGAATGTAAAAGGCAACAAATATAATCAACAAAATAAAAAACAAATAATTTAAATTAAGGGTTTCGTTTTGCGAAAAAACGTACAATACGCAATTTCGCTAAAAAACATTTAGCTAGCAATTTCGACCTTTGACTCCACTCAAGACGTCACTTTTTTAATTTTGCGGTATCATATTTTTGGAAAATCTTTATGAATATTATATAAAAAGGTCTCTTTAATATCTATATTTCATATTTTTATCGATTTTTAAAGTTTTTGCGAAAAGTATTCAATTATTTTTGCTATTTGGTCTGGTAAATGTCAGATTTGCGACATTTTCTGATATGATATTCAGATTCTACGTTGATAATAATGCTTATAGAACCCTCTTGCTATTGTGTCAAAATTGCGAAACCGATAGCAAAAATATCTCGCAATATCAAAATTGAGATATTGAGTGAATTATGCATTATAGAGATTAAAAATCTGATTTGTGAAAACATCTCATCAGTTTCTAGCTAATTCAAAAATCTTTACTATCTTATTCGATTAAAATGAAAAGGGAATAGTTTCATTATGCTTTAAATGACAGCCTTATAATATAATCATAGTTTCGCTCATATGCAGCATTTTTTTCGAAATCTATGGTCAATGTCCTAAATACTGATTGCTTTGCATTCATATCTCTTACATTTTCTATACCCACATCACTATTCATTGCCATTCCTATCTTTTTCATTTTTGTTTGTTTCTCATAATTTCTCAAAAAACACGATAACTTGATATTTGTAAATATCATACTTTATAACGTAAATAAGAACTTGACCTATTAAGAAAAGCAGTAATGAAAAGAAAATCTGAAATTCATAAAAATTACAAGTTTCTGATGACAATTAGCTTAATTAAACCAGGTACAAGATTATATAATTGTATTTTCTATCCAATTATCCATATAATATCTTATCCAGAAAAAATAACTTGGGCGTCAAAAATTTTCTCACTGGGTTTTCGTCTATCAATCCCAGCTCATTATATACGCAACCAATCAAAAATCTGATATGGGAGTCCAAGGCTAACTTTTTGTCGTCTACCTAATAAAAGAGGAAGCAGCATTAGTGAGAATAATCGCAAATATTCAATTTAAATTATCTTTTTATTCTTAATTTAAAGTGACAAAAAGAATAAAAAACCTATTCTAAGGCATGTTGTTATGTAAATGAGACTAGACATCATATTTTATGTTATGAAAAAAAAATATTTAGAATTTTAGAACAAAATAAATAGAAAAAATAGCATAACTTATGGATGTGCGTATATTAAATTTAATAAATTAAGAGAAATTATTTTTGGCGCCAAAATTATTCGTTAACTCTCAAATTTT